GGGGGGGGGGGGGGGGGGGGGGGGGTGAGAGAGAGACTGAGACAGCGGGAGGGAGAGAAAGAGATGGAGAGACGCACACACAGAGAGAGGGAGAGGGAGAGTCAACGAGGCCGAAGAGCGTTAGTTTCCTTTATGTGACGACGCCAGCGTGTTGCCCCCAAACTTGATGCGATGAATGCGTGGGTGTTGGCCATGATCTTGACCCGTTCCGTTGTGCTCTTGTGTTTCTTTTTTTGGCTCCCGTCCGCAGGAGGCGCTGAAGAAGGCGAAGGGGGGCACGCAGCCCCCGGACGAGGAGCTGTACAGCAACATCTGGGTGGCGGGGGAAAAGTACGAGACGCCCGTGACGCCTGGGTACATCCGCATGCCCGACCGCTCCAAGAGCATCGGGAACATCATGAGCGACGTTGTGGTCTAAATTTCGCTCTCCTCGCTCTAGATAGGTCTTTCCCGAAGTTTTGTAGTCGCAACATCGTTGGTGAAGGTTGTGGAATAGGTTTCATCCCATCGAGTATGAAACCGCAGTGCCTGGTATTCCCAAGCGTTTGGTGGGCAGATTGTGTGGGGTTGCACGTGTACAGGAATGTCCACCCTCCAGAGAAACCGCGACCCAGCCAAGACCTAAGCACAAGTGTCGTGCACGAGTTTGTGCAGCGGCTTTGGATACGCTCATAGTCTGATCGCACATTTGCTTGGGACGAAGAGAGGGAATATGTCGTGTGATGGTACATTCCTTTGAGCAAGCAGAAGGTTGGTTGTCGTTGGGTCATTGTTTGGGTCGTGGTTTTATGTGTGTCGGCGTCGGTCCCACGAGGTAGTATATTTTAGTGCTCGACGAAAGCGAGCACACCATGATGTGTTGCACTCTCCTTCGGCATCGAGCAAATTTTGGTTCTATATTTTCTGGTGCAGCCACCAAAAGTGTTCTTTTCCCCGAGCAACCACTTTCCGCCCGGTTTGGTGACGCATTAGCGTGACATGGGCAGGGGCGGAAGGTAATCCCCGCTTGTGTCCCCCGTTTCCCCAACTATGGCACGTGAGAGTTATCCCCGACATGGTCCAACGATGCATGATGATACGGGGCTGTTTCATCACATTTTTCTCGCAACTCGGAGATATTTTTATGGCCGTAACGGCGATCGGCACAACGTTTTGACGTCAGTGCTGGTGTTCTACCCGACAGGAGGTTATCCGGCTGCCGTGAACCAACAGCCGCAAGTATTCCACACTTGCGTCTACACGATGCACTCCTTTCGGTTTCCTGGCTTGACTCAGGGGCACCACAAAAAATACAACGCTGCCTGGTTGTTGTATGCATGGCTGCGCTGAGAGATCACGGAGACATTGCATCCCTTCCCTCGAGTAGAGACACTCGCGTGCACAGCTAGTTGCACGGGCACACGCTGCAATTTCGACCTTCACACCAGTTCCACGGCCAGCCAACGCCTAGCGGCAGCAGGGCCGCTTACAGTTCAACACGGAAATCACACATCATGCTCGCTACTCTTCTGACAACGGGCAGTCTGCAGAGTTTTGGAGTTTCCGTTGTGTTCGACGGGGGAACCACCACAGCAGAGACTGCAACCAGAGCAAGCTGACACCTTTCCAGCGAACAGTGACACCCGCCTCCCAAATAGTTCCTCCTCACTCCATGTCTGACGGTGAATACGCACTGTTAGAGAACCTACAACACGGCATGCCGGGCGAAAGAGAGGACGTGCGCCCGAAAAACGACTTCCCATCTGTTGCTCGTCGTTTCTACTCCGACATTCAAAGGCGTTCCACCCCTGCTCGTCTATCTCTTCCCATCTCTTGCTATTTTTTCTGCTTGGAGCTCAATTCGCCAGGATTACGATGAGCGCCGGGGCGACGAAGACCGCCACCGCCCCGAAGTAAGCATACGGGAAGAAGCCTCTAAACTTCTGCTGCACGAAGAACACGGCCAGGTAGTACGCGCCTCCCAAGAACGGCGCAATCTTGAGGTACGGCCGGAGCAGGACCACGTTGAAAGGGTCCAGTTTTCTCTTGAGAATGCCGAAGGCAGTCTGGCGCGGTGTGTGTCGTGTGATGGCAAGTGATGATCGCGCGATAGGTGGTTGATGGTTTGAAAGAGGAGGCAGGTGTTTGGGTCATGCGGTTGGATTTATGATGGCGCTACCCGGACCCGATTATTACAAATATCCTTCAGGCGGCTGGATTTCGTTCACTTCCGCCTACACAGGTACTTGGTTCTCAAAGACAGAAACAGCACGCGTCAAGTCATGTCACTCGGCAGCACGCGTGGGGCCACTGCTTCGACTCTATGTCGAACGAAACAACGTGATCAAAACGCGACTAAGCCAACTTCACTCTGACGAAGAGCTGCTCTAGTCATATGGAAGCACACATACAACTCCCAGGGTCGCTGTAGCACCTTCACCAAGAGTTTCGTACTGCGATGTGACGAAGTGGTGTGATCTCACCTCTGTGTTGCTATCCCATGCCTCCCCCCCAGCCCTCCGCTTGTCAATCAAGCCTTTGACGATGCTCTGTGAGCGCCCAAAGCAACGGGAGGCGAAGACGGGAGATAGAGGCGATTAATCGGTTTGTTTTCCGCCAGCGATAAGCCGCTCAACAAACAAAGTAGCCCCGTTTCATGAAGGTCATGATGCCATCGCAAGCCAGCACAGGACTTACAATTATGCGTGGCCGAATGTAAGTGGTCTGTCTGCCTGTCAATCGCCGCGCTTTCGATCAAAACCACAAAAGAGCCGCGGAGGCACACGCGTGTTATGGCAGCGACCATGCGCGAACCCTCTTCTTGGCAACAGAGAAATCAAGCAAATGCAACAGATTCACGCAGCAACAGACGGTCCAGCCGAGCCCTTCACACACTTACTGACCACGGCGCCGCGCCCACGTCATGTTGATAGAGCGACTCGTTTTTGACGGCGGGTGAGTTTCCTATCCCGACCTGGGACTCGTCGAAACGAGGGTAGCCTTTGTCCTAAGGAACACGTACATTCGATGTACTGCCGCAGGATTGGCCGTGAGCCTCTTGGTCACCCACTACAGCAGTATCTTAACTACTGTAGCTGACTGGCATCACTTTGCCTGATGACAACTTCCTGACGATTCCACGAAACTATCATTCGGGGTGAGACTCAAGGGTACACGGGGGGGGCTGATATTCAGCGTATCGGCGTGGCCCTAGGCGTCACACTCACGGTACCACACCCGTGGCAGTCTTTCCAGAGTGCCAGAAAACTGGAGCGGTTTGCTACACCAAAGACAACGCACCACCGCCGTACATACCTCTGCCGCGAAAGGGTTCTCCAACACCCCGTCCTCGTCCCAGTCCACCACGTCGTTGATCTTCACCATCGAGTTGAGCAGCGTGTCTGGCCTGTCCGCCTTCTTCAGCTCCAACACCAGCTGGCTCACGTCGGCCCTGCCGTCCGCCGACGAAAAATCCCCTTCGTCGGCCAGCACCATCAATACGTTCGCCGGTGAGCTCCCCCGTCCGCCGTCCAGATGATGACGAACACCGCGGCTGCCCGATGCGGCACCTGCTGGTAGAGAGGAGGACAGGATGGCGGCGGTTGCCAGGCATGCGGCCGCGGTGCGGCAGGCTCCTGACCAGGCTGATGTTTTTGCTTCCCCCGTTTGTTTGTCATCGTGGTGGAGGCCGCCGTCGCTGGTGGTCATGCCGGGTGGTGATCGGTGGGCTGGGAACGTCAACCTGCTGGTGGTGCTGTTGAGGGAGGAAGGCGGGGATTTGCGGGCACGAGAAAAGAGGGATACTGGTGTAAGGCATAACTTTTGCAGCTGCTCGCGTGACCACGGTAGGATTTCAATGGGTCGGTGATACAGTAGTTGTACTTGTACAAAGTGATGGGCTTGCTTTGCTGTTGCATGTTTACAGGCACATGTTACAGCAAGCACATACATGCATGGACTACAGCAGTACATGTGTTGGTGACACGGGAAACATGATCACGCACCTCAACGACGATCACATACAACATGATCACTGCCTACAAACAGATGATTGCTTGAATCAGACGGAAGCCCATGGAACCAGGTAAGTTCGACACACACGGACAACAATGGGAGTTCCAGGCTTGACAAGGCCCAACGCGACAAGCACTACAATACGCACTCACCTGCGGATAGCCGACATCCCGCCGCCCAGCATATGTGCCGCAGGGACGAAAGCCGTTCCATCATGACAACTGAGAAATCCCACCAGCGTATGCATTGTCAGCCGCCGCAAACTCTTCTTCTGGCTATGAAATCCGTCCATGATTTTTATTGTGTGCCTCAACGTGACGTACAGCGTTGCAGGCAGCAAGCAAGGACAGAGCAGAGAGCTCTGCCAGCCTCTTCACCTTTTTCACTGCCTCGGGGTGCTCCGCAAAATGCTTGGGGGTATGAGCCATTGAGAAATCATGTGCCGTCGCCACCCAGCCGCCCCGACAAGCCCCGACCCTGTGCGGTGTCACTCAGAAAGCAAGGCAGAGAGCACCGACAACAACACCACTGTTGTCACCGCCTACAACAGAGCCGTATATTCTCGAGCAAGATCTTAGCCTACAAAAGGATTGGCTATCACGTGTCCTTTGGGGGGAGCAGGACCCTAGCAAGGTTATAGGGCACAGACTTTGACATAACCCACGACGAAACGATGGACCTTCTCAAGGCGGAGCTGGAAAGGAAAAAGCAGCGCACATCCGAGCTGGTCGCCAAAGCCGGGGGGGAGAAGGGGGGGAGACGGTTTGTCCGACGCGGAGAAGCAGCGAGGCTGGAGAAGGAGGAACGGCTGAAAAACCAGGCGGATTTGATAAGGTGAAGAGAGGGTCGGGTGACAGACTTCCTCCTGTATGGGGGCGGCTTGATTCGGGTGGTCTCTTGTCTCTTGGGTGTGAGCGGCAACATTGAAGACGTGGTTGCCCACACACGACTGCTGCGTTGTTGATGACCAGCCGTGGGTATAAATCTTATCTTCGCACCCAGAAAATATCGTAGCTGTATTGATTTTCAATAGCATGCTTCGCAGCACGGAAGCAACCAACGGAGTTGAACGATCCGTCGGGGCGATAAAGGGGGATGCTAACCTTGCACTTACGACACTAACAACTGTGTCTACGACACATCACCAAACACGACGCACATAACGGCAGAGTGGTGTGCAGCAGCACTTAGTTCAAGTTAAGTTTTGGAACACGCGCTATGTTGCCAACAAACTTGATGAATATGTACGGAGCCGGTTGCTATGGCACCGCCGACACTGGGCCGTCACACCACCGCTGCTGTCTGATGCCTATTGGATTCACACCAGTATATCGGCGCGCCTAGTTCACACGCCGTTGTGGCACCCCAAACATACCAGAAGACGCGTGGAAATGGTCAATAAGGGAAACTACATGTAGCGCCAGACTCCAAAAGTCTGGATAGCAAACAAAACGTCACTTCCTTAGTGGAATACCCAATAGGCATGTGTGTCGGTCAATTACAAGCCTCCTACGGTAGGTGCGATATCCACACGAAGAAAGAAGAGTGTTGCATGCAGCACCGCAATGCGGTCGGCTCCTCGTCAGATTTTCCCTTTCAGTCTTGCTGGAGTATTTAAGCTCCATCCATAGTCTAACCCACACAGGTAGTATCTTGCTCGGGTCGATACTATTTGCACGCTGACAAACATTCTAGCCGTCTCAAGGGGTCGATACTCGTTCGATTACAACGCGTTCTTCCAAGAACGTGTCCGATTTGACTCATCGGGCACTGGCCACAATCGCCAAAGCAGGAAAACACGTGGCGTTTCGAACAAATTTGGCCTTGGGGGACGGAATATAATCGCATCAGATCCAGCCGCACCCCAACCCTTCCTCTGCCTGAATTTATTCGCGCCAAGGTTGAGGGAAGAGAAGAAGCGCAAGCGCGAGGAAGAGGAGCGGAAAAAGGAGGAGGAGGAAGAGCGGCGAAAGAAGAGGTCAGCCCCGGTATCAGTGAAGGAAAAGAAGAAGGCTTCTGACGCCGCCAAGGAGAAGGAGCGGGCGGCTGCGGCAGCCGCTGCAAACGAGGCAGCAGCCACCGCCCAGGAGGACGAGGTGCCGGCGAAAGAGGTGAGCAAGATGAACCTCCTTGCCCCTGAGGTGTAGTTTTCGCGCACTCTGATGTCGGTCCTACAACAAGGAGCGCAGTATCGACGAGCCGCCTCTAACAGCAGTACAGTACGCTCTGCGCCGCCGTGAATCTTAAGAATTGACCGTGAAGAAAGGGAGCCTCGAATAACGCTCAATGATTGTGACAAATTGACCATAAGAACAGACATAAGAACAGATGCTCAGCCAAGACACCTGAGTACCATCTGCCCGGAATGTTTGAAGGAGCCATTAGCTTAGCAGACTTGACCATTCCGATTCAGCATGGGTGAAACGCGAGCTCTATCATGAACAAGCACCATCCAGGCACAAGGACCGTACCCCCCGCTGGGGACCACAACATGCTCTAAATAGTGTTACTGAACAACGTCGGGCTAAATTCCTCCAATTTTCACCCCTACATCTGGTGCCTTCCATGTTCAACCCTTGACCCTCTATTGTTACCGTTACCCCCTTCATGTTTTCACGACCCCCCCTCCAGGCGAAGGCCCGCCTCCGCGCATTGTGCCTACCTATCACGCTCTTCGGCGAGACCCAAGCTCAGCGTTCCGCGCGTCTCCTGCTGGCGGAGGAGGATAAGGGGCACCACCAGGACGACTTTACCCTGGCGGATGGGCACAACGTTGTGAGTTGTCTTCCCTGTTGCGCTTGTCTATTGTCTTCCTAATAAATGCTTCCCATGATTTGTTTCTCTTGGACGTGGCGGGTTCTGAAGGAGAAGGATTTTTGCGTTCTCCGGTATTTGTATGTGCAACCATTTCTGAGTGCCAGTTGCCAGTGAACCACCCGCACCCCCGACAGCAGAAAGTTAACATTAAATCCCCAGCGGTGTCCCTCTCGAACAGTGATGCCCGCGCATCCTCGTTACCCACAATTCGTGCTCCCTCTCGGCGTTTCCTACTGCATTCCCACACGCCTACGCGCGCCGTATCAAAAACAGAATAACGAATTTTTGGGGAACGTGAGCTCGGACCTGACGGGAAGCCACCTCGACGCCGCCACCGGCCGGAACGATGAGACCGCGGCTGGCGATGGTAAGGCGGGAGACGACTCAGATGACGACGATGACGACGACGACGAAACCGGAGCGGGTGCACGAGCAGCGCGGCAGGCAACAAGGACTGCGGGGGGGGGAGAGACTGGAGCGGCGGACAAGGGCGACGGGGTGGGTGGGGAGGGGGGAGCGGCCGCGGCGGCTGCGAGCGGAGGGGGCGCGGGAGGGGAGGATGCTGCTGACAAGGAGGCGGGGCTGGACGGAGAGGTGAAGGAGATGGAGCGGAATAAGCTGGTGCGGACGTTCTTCAGGGGGCTGCTGAAGGAGTGGGAGATGGACCTGAATGCTAGGCCGGACCACGTCAAGCGCACGGTGCAGGGGAAGCTCGAGACCAAGACGCAGAAGCAGGCTAAGGACTACATGCGCCCCCTGTTCAAGCTATGCAAGCAGAAGGTGCGTGTTGTGCATCGTGTCTGATGTCGCTATTTGGTGTTCGGTGTTATTTGCTTTGTTTCCTCTTTTGCCGTGCTTGGAATTGTTGAGTTTGGTCTGGACGTGCACGTGAAAGCTTCTGTTTTCTTGTGTTGTCCATGCAGCTTTTATGTATGGAGGGTGTTTGGTTAACAATATTCGATACTACTGCGGGGCACCACTTGCCGAAGTGCAAGGGCGATATTTGTAGCGAGGAAAGGGCCACGAAAAACCCGCACGTTTGTGCGAGTGCCCCCCACCACCGTGACGTCATGCGACACGACTGCCGCCATGCGTCTTTGGTGTCAACTTCAGGCGTTGCCCGACGGCATCCTGAACAACCTCGTGACGATGATCAACTTCATGAAGGAGGGCGAGTTCGTCCGCGCCAACGACATATACATCCTCACCGCCATTGGGAACGCCCCGTGGCCGATCGGGCTCACCATGGTGGGCATCCACGAGCGATCAGGTACGTCTCTTTTGTTAGCGTTGGCAAAGTGATGTCAACAATGTGTAGAATATGGTTCCGTCTGTTTGATTAGAATGGATACCTGTTGTGTTGTCAACTAGCGGTATCGATTTGAAACACTACAGAGAAGGGCTCTTGGCTAAACATATCTCTCTCACCCCGTCTGCATATGTTCTTTTTCCCCCCGTGCTCTCACTCAGGTCGCGAGCGTATCTCGTCAAAAAACGTGGCCCACATCATGAACAACGAGGCCCAGCGCAAGTATTTGGTCTCGGTCAAACGGCTCATGACCTATTTGCAAGACAAGCGTCCCGACATCGCCCCGAGTAAAAAGGTCCGTTGATCAGCTGGATTCCGGGCCTCTCCTACGTGTCCCAACGACGTGGCCACGGTAGCAGAAGTTGTGAAAGAGACACTTTGGATGGCTGGCTCACCCTGTTGTGTTTCTCAGTAGAAATGGCAGTTGCTGTGTCGACGCCACTGGAACCTTTGGGGTCGCTGCGAGTTCTGTTGGTTGCGCGGCAAGAGGTCGTGCGCAATGAGCAAGGAGTGTGGTGTTCCCAGATTTTATTTTTGCTTGTAAAGGTTGGATTGAAATCAGACTCTGCATCCAGATTTTCTGTTGGTTCGGTGCCATTCGCTGGGCTATGCGAGTCTGAACACATCAGCTGCGTAGGCTGTTCGAGCTTGGCAACTCACAGCTTTTAGATGACAGCCAGCTGTGCAGACAGCTGTTCCTAACGGGCAGTTGTCGTTGAGATGTTCTTCAGCTGGTCCCGAAATGCAGCTGTTGTTCTCTCTGTTCTGTCCTTCAAACATCGGGGGCAACGGCGCATTCTTCGATACCACCACGCTTTTTTTCATCGTGCATCACCCCTTGATGAAGCTGTGCTCTCATGAGCCCACTCCGGAGGGCAGCCTTGTGCTCGTGCATGGCCATGGCGCCGGAAGCCAATCTCCACAGGATTAGCGCCAGAGGATCAGCGCGGGGATCAACTTGAGAACAGAGGCGCGTCGCGGTTCTGAGACCCTGGAAAGCAGGAACGCTCCGGCGGTAATGGTGGGTCCATTTGCGACATGGCCACAAGTTGTGCCATCCCCGTGGCGTCCCGATTTGGTGCGTGGGACCGAAGCCGGACAAAGGTCGACACGGTTTGATCAGATGTGCGAAGCCCATCCCAAGCCGTAAAAAGTTGGCATGAGTCAGGTCGCCGCTTTGATGAGCGCAGATATGATGAAAGCCTATGCTTGCTTGCAACACGTTGTCAAACTCGGTAGAGCATGGGACCAGCAACGCCAACGACATTTGCCGGCTTGACGATGTTCGTCGGCTTGCTTTAACAACTGGGGTACAATAGGCAACGCCGAAGCGCCTGTGAAACCAGTTCTCCTCCCATAGCGCGCTACACCGGCTGCTTTTACTCTTTGTGATATTTCGACCCTCGCCGGATTTCAGACGCTCTGTAGATCTGCTCCGCCAACAGTGCTCGCGCCCACAAATGGGTGAACGTCATGCTCGATAGGGATAGTTTTGCCCCTCCATGTGGAGGCTTCTGCTTCAACCCCGGGGGTAAACCTTCCGCGCCCCCGACAACGAACGTGAGGCGCGACCCTCCTTCCTCGAGCTTCGAGAAGAGAAAGTCGGAGAACGCCGGAGAGTTCATCTGACGCCCGCCTTCATCTAGACAGACCTAATTGGGAACAAACATGAGCGCGGATTTGACGGACGGACAGGGGTCTGTTTGATGCAAGAGAAATACATCGTCAGTGTGTGGTTGGCCTGTTGTTCGGTCGGCGACGACAAACCGAACACAGTTTTGAACGTCATACACTCGAGGAATCCACACTTGGAACCTCAACTTTTGTCTGGGTTTCAGAACGCTTTCATAGAAGGGCCGCTCAAGACTTGAAACGATCCTTCCACAATGAATATCCGATCGTATGGGCGTTGGAGCGCAGTTGTCCTCTTACCACCACTCCTGGGTCCTTCCTCACGGCAGCTTCGAGATCATCGTCGGTCTTGTGCCACTGGGTGTCCAAGGCCAAGACCGGTCGCAACCGCTTTGCGTACTCGTCGTACGCCTGCTTGGAAATGTTTATTTTCAGCCGAGCATTGCGGAATGTGTAGTTGGACAGAGCAGGCCGATACACACGACAAATGTGTAAGGCTGAGCGATGTAGCCGCGGAGGTTCTGAAATGAGACGCACGGCCGTAAAGATGGTCATACGATTGGTTTTGTGCATGTCGCTCGAACCAGGTAAAAACATGAAATGATACAAATGCCTCTCCGGGGCGTGTGTACGTTGTATGTTGTGAATTCGAGCCGATGAGGGTGGTGGTGAAGCGGACAACAGCTCGATGTACAGCAGGCTATGTAGTACATATGTAGACTAGTGTACATCTAGATGCTAAGCTGTAGGATGGTCCATGATGAGCCGAAACACAACCGAGGGCGGGAGTGCCCAGTAAGGGGGTTGGCGATTGGCATTGATACCAATAATCAAACAGTGTTTGGTGTTTGGAGTTATTTCCGCACTTGCAAGTGAAGAACATGCGTAATTGAAGCAGCATATGAAGCAGCAAGACGAGGTCAGGACTAGTCTACAAGAGGCCCACACCTGATTCGTGTAGTCTTCTTCACGGCTTTTCTTGCCCCGTATGCGTACCGTGATCTGTAGCCCACACGTAAGCTCCCGCCTCCGTCCCGTCACACTATATCGCCGGGTGCCGCTCGGGCTACGACGCCGCCAGGCGGACCACTCTCGCGACAGCTGGGTAGTTGATCGTGAGTGCACAAAGGACGAGACAAAGGTAGTCGACGTCGCAAGAAGGGCTGATACCACAACCACGACGTTAGCACCAAGCATCTCTGCGCCAAGTATAACGCAACAACAGCAACGCGAATGTGCGCGCTTGGCCACTCCCGAGAGAGCTCGCTGCCGACGATCCGACGATGCTTGACGATGCTCTTGTCCTCGCTAAACGTGACGGCAACCCCCGGTCTTGAATCACGCCCACCAATTCTTGGGTGGAACCCCTCCGTTGACCGAGTCCAGTTTGCGATGCCCCTAACAGCCGGCCGCCGAGCTGCAGCAAGAGCACCACGCACCGGCGGTGTCAGAGCACGGGTGCACGAATAGAAAAGCATGGCAGACACCACCTCTCAGGAGAATGAGTGTTCTTCATGGTCGGACTTTGAAACTAGAGGTGGGGGTGAGGCAGATCTGTCATCGCTGCCGGCGGCTGTGAGGGCGATCGTCGAGGAGTGCAGGGCGAAGTCAGCAAACCCGCCGCCCCCTGAACAGCAGGCTGGGGAGGTCCTGCCGTACCCGTGTCGCATGTACGAGGAAAGTATTCCTGGCGAGGAAGGCATGCTACAGCTACAGTGGATGAGACTCGATGTGAGTACGCTTATTGATCATTTGCGATCTGAGGAGTGGACTGCAGATCAACACCGACGGCTGTATGGGGGATATTCAAATTCAAATTTAAATCCTTGACGGTCTGTTGATCATCTGTGTGTGCGTGCGACTTTGGTCCCATCGGTCCATCTGCTCCATTCCGTACACAGATGTCAAACATGGACAGTGAACGCTGCTGGGGAGAGGCGAGCTTGGACGGAGAGCACGATTGCGGCCCAGATTCCGGCTTGGTACTCCCCGCGGTGTATAGCATGGATCCAGCTCAGGTGCGCCTCACCATGCAAGCTGAATGTCCACACCAGCCCCCCCCCACCGCAGCTTTCGGTGTCCGGGGAAGGAGGTTCTTCGATGTCTATGCATAGTTCGTAAGCTGTGGAATTTAGAACAGGACGAATTCCTTGCATTTCAGAGTCCTCGAAGAAACAGTGTTCATAAATTCAGTTCATGCGAATGTAGAAAGTGTATGGCTTGGGTGAAGTATAGTTGTGGACATGTTAATGAACATCAGTTGTGGTTGTGAAGTACTCTACTGATTCCAGCAACATATCTTCAGACACTGCAAATGTATTCCTCCTGTGGACGAACAGTGGTTGTGTCATCTGTTTCACCCTCAGGTATTTAACATATTTGTATCCACACCACCCAGAACCTGCTCCCTCGCGTGACTGGTTGTCGATTACGCTGCTACAGGTTTTGCCCCCAACGATGATCGGACTCCCGCCAGAGCTACAGCGTGACTTACAAGGCAGCAACGACGGGTTTTGCCAATGGGCTTCCGATGACATCCCGGTTAGGACGCCGCCCGTGCGGTTGCGTGGTTGTGGCTGTGGACGGATTTTTTGTTGTCATCGTTGTCGCGCATTTTATGTCCTTGATGCGCAGCAGTCAACCACCGTGAGCATCCCGTCGCAGGACGTTCATAAGTCAGGTTCATTGTCTCTCGACCTCTCGACACACGCCCAACAGGAGGACCATCTCTTTAAGCTTGGCGAAAAACTCACGGAGGCGTTTTCCGGCGAACCGGGTGGTAGCAGGCGAGCGGAAGGCTTGCCCCCAGACGTCATTGCGGAAGTGGCATCATTGTCCCGCACTGATTGGTCCGTCTGCCTCGAGCGTTACGTTGACTTCCGAAGGTGGGCGAGCGAAGTGCAAACGCCAGCAGCGCATCTCACCTCCCTTACCACCTTGTGTTGACATGGCTCGCAGTGACCTGCCGCTTCTGATGTGAGCGCGACCCCCACGTGGTTACCACGACCGCTTCACCTCGTACGATAGGGCACCACACACCACGCTAAACGAAAAGGTGGAACATGCGAAGACCGAACAACCCTCGCGTTGCCTCTTTGTCCTCTTTGTCATCCCATCCTCTCGACACCCAACTCGCATACACACAGGTGCGATCCCACGGCGATCGCACAAGTCCTCTTGGCCGCTTCTCCCCCTACCCTCGACTGCCTCCTGGGCACCGTGCTGCCGGGGCTTGTCACCAAGATTTCATCCCTCAGCGCCGCTGCGAAGGCACCCACTTCCTCGGAGACAGGAACCAAAGACAGCAGCGCAAGCGGTCGGAATGGTGGAGAACAAGCCGCGACAAGTGCAGGCAATGGTCAAAGGAACACCGCTGCTTTGCTCGCAATCTGTCGACTGGCCGCCTCTGTTGCGGCCTCCGTGAGGGGGGATGCAGATCCCGTGGCGTTTCGGGATAAAGTGTCGGGTAGCGAGCTGCGGAAGCTGGGGGCGCTCGGGAAGGAGGCGGAGGTCGCGCTTGCGGAGGCGTTTTTCTATGGGGAGGGGGCGGGAGCGGCGTTTTAGAGCCCCCGTTGAAGGTCGTGTCCCTGGATGGATGTTGTTGCGTTTTTCATGGTCCATGAGACGAGTCGGGGAAACTTGAACTTTTCTCGGTCAGCTTGGTCGGGGAGCAACTCAGAGGACCACACGTGATGGTGTCGTTCCTAGTCGGCACCTCCCACCTGGGGGAGTCGAGCAGACCTGCGTTTAGCTCCATAGTTAGCGACACTGTCGCTCCATGTCAGAGCCATCACTGTCTGACAGTGCAAATTGGCCGTCACATCTGAACCACGTCGTCACCTTAATCTCTCTCCCCGACCGCGGAGACCCTAGGGAGCATTGACTTACGCAGAAAGCGGACTTGGGCGTGAAAAGAACCACAACCGGTGTTACGCGTGTCGTGGTTGCGAACCCTTTATGCGGTTAAGTGTTCCTGCGCAGAGGGGGTTTGCACGCTGTCAGTCTACTGCACCTAAAGGGAATGGTCGTGTGATGTATCCACGTTGGTTCTACTTACGTTTGGATGCAACTTTTGTGTGTAGGCCTCTTTTTGCTGCTTAGAAAGTTGCAAGTCATTACTGCACAAGCTGCCGATTTGATTATCTCCCGCTTTCGGCCGTCCACCGCTCGTTTGTTCGGCCACGATTTCGTGCCGAAACGCCTGGAGGAATATCCTTCAGTCGGTCGCGCCGGAGTTAAGAAACGCAAGCTCTACGAGTCGGTGCGAATATTGAATCGTCTGAGACTTACACATTCCTCGCGGAAGGATTCGAACTTTGGCAAGTTCACCGAGCGGCTTGTGTGCACCGAGCAAGCGGCCAAGTTCAGGCAGATCTCCAACACCGCCGTTTGAGATTTCTTAGGGGAAAGAAGCCTCAATCACAAAAGAGCTTATTTTCGGCATTCGCTTGTTGAGATGATTCAGCAGCTCTTTTCTTGGAGCGAAAAGTCTGCAAAATCACCCCAACCTAGCGTTGTTTCACACTGCGGTCGCCTTCACCGCGTGACTGACTGTTTATACCCTGCAACGGAAACAACTCGAGACAAGGTAGCCACGGGCATTCTTCCCACAAATCGTGCGCGACTACATTGGTGTTCTTAATCATTAAGGCACATCCAAACCTCTCCATCTACATAAAACGTGAGTGCGTGTTGTTCACAGCTGCCGTCCGAAGTATGCGCACAAGAAGGCCATTCCCGCCAGCCACGCACACGCGACCAGGTGGGTCAGCTTTCCTCCAGGCCCGGTCAAGAGCCTTGTAAGAGCCCATACCGCCGCAGCCCCGTGCTCCCACGCAGTGACCCTCACACCCCTCAGCACAACCCTATCGCACCCGAACCACACTAGCAGCATCGTGTACACAGAAAACTGCGCCAAACATGCCGCCAAGGCCAGACCCAACGGCCCTCTGCCATCTCCCGCTTCGCCCGCAACGATATCCCTCAATGTATCCAATACAGCAGTGTTTGGTGTGCCACCCTCCCCGTTCATCGTTGACGCTGCTGTGATGAATCCCGCGAGTCCTCCGAAGGGGAACGCGGCTTGCCACATACATGCCGCTAGGAGCTCCACCACCTGGACCAGGAGTAGCACGCGCCGGATGCCCAAGAAAAACGATCGCCGATTCGCCACGTCCATGCCCTGCGGTGTGATCAATGACGCACAAAATGGATTTTTAAGGAGATGGTCATCAGGACGGGGGGGGGTTGCAAGTCGCTCTGCTTTTTGGTTTGAAGTTGGTTGTGAACGGTGTGTGCTAAGCCAAGCGGTGATGGTGTGACAAGGTAGAAGTCAACGATTGACAGTCTGGAATTGAGGCTTGCCAACACCAGCTCCACACCAACGAGAATGTCAATGCCCAACGGTATGGCCACCGGTGCACCAGTACTTACTGCTGTCGTGGTGCGGTCGGGGACTCATGTTGGTCCATGTCACGGACGGCGGGGAATACGTCAAAATCGGGGGGAGGAGAATTCGCTTGAAGAAAGTAGACGCGGCGTTCGTTGTTGTGGTGGTAAGAGTTCAAGCGGGAAAAGATGTACATCGGAGCAGAATTCCTGCAAAACAATCAAGCTGCTGTGCTGTCATATACATGTCGGAGCGGTTTCGTAGGTAAGTCCGAGTGCGGTGGACGCGCCAGGCCACGTTGTGTATTGTCTAGGAAGTTGGAGCACAATCATACATGAGGTGTCGAATATCATACGTACGACGTCCAGTGTCTAGCGTTGGAACACAATCATACTTGAGGTGTCGAATATCATACGTACGACGTCTAGAGGATCACAAGGGTACGAGAAACCGTTCTTCATGAGTTTCTGGTTCTTAGCTTGTTGAACAATCTGAGGTAAACAAACAGGAACACTTCCAACAGTTGAAGTACACACGCCCTTGACCCGAAACAAAGGGGTAACGGCCGTCATCCCGCCAACGCTTGTTGAATAACTGGTATTTAGCTTAATCTACTCCGTCTCCAACTAACCCCCACACGAATGACTGAAAGGCCATGTCTCTCGATAGGGTTGGCCATAAGTATTGATGAGTTTGCACAAGATAATTTCTCGGTCAGTCACCCGTTTTGTGACACACTCTCGCCTATGTAGTCGCCACTCGATTCGCATGCTCCAGACAGAGAGCGGCACCCTTCTCTGCTGCAGCATACATGCTGTATAACTCACAATAGATTCATTTAGATAGCGGTGTGTATATATCTAGATATCCAACACTACCGAAAACGACCGTGGATATCAGACCTATACCCCCTCCCACTTGTGCCGAATCCCTCACTCTACGTTCAAGGTGTTTTGATGTTTCTGCGAAACGGCGTTCCTTTGTAGGTGTCTGGCTACTCGTCGGCAAAACGAAGGTTGGACTGTCAGTCCTGGTTCCGTTTGACGTTCATTTTTTTTTTTCAACGCAGACGCAAAAAAGAAGTGGAAGAGAGGGCGGGAGAGAGAGAGAGGAAAGTGCAGGAAAGCAGACGCGTCTATTTCTGCAGAGGCCATGAGGGATGCCGGCGACTGTAGTGTTAACTCGTATGCATAGGGTCACATCGTAAGGGTTGTTGCGCGGCCGCGGTGCGGCTGGCAAAGCGAAGAACATAAACAGATCAGTCCTCCACCTCGCCTAAACTACTCTCTTTTCAGTATATTCCAAATATTTCGTTTGAAATGATCGGTGAGAGGGCCCCGTGAAAACCGAAACTGCTGCAAATCTACTTTTTTACTCTGTACTTCTCTGCCTCCCCCCCCAACGTGAGCCCTGCCTGCATGCCGAGCCCCTGTTCTTCCCACAAGGACACCAGAACACACCAATAGACTTGCCAACATCCGACGTGGAGGGCTGCAGGTCGGCAATTCCACGGGTTGCCACCACACTAGCTCTTGCAAATTGTCAATCAATGACCAGTCAGCACTCCTGAGACACGAGGGTTTATTACCCCGCCTCATGTGTATGAAGCATAGACTAGCTTCCAACACCAGTGGTTGCCGCTGGTAATTTCAAAATCTTCCATTATTACCCGAATGCGTGCGATGATTCCGAAGGCTTGTAGCATGCGATGCATACATGCACCCATCTGTTAAAATAGAGCAAGCTGCAACAGAGTGGGTGGCGGATGGGCGCGAGAGGCTGCACCTGTTCAATCGCGGCCGAGAGTCGCTCTCGAAGGTATTGCTGTTTGTACTGCTGCTCTGCTTACCGCTGTCGCTGAATCGTAAGACGAGGCATGCCCTCCGAGCTCGCCAAAGGCCTCGGGTGAGCGTTCCCTGAGCACTTCATCCACAATCTTCTCCTGCTTGCCCTTGAGATCTGCTGCAATAGCCTCTCCACGAGCATGGATATCAGCGGCGATGTGATCCCTCGTCGCTCGAAGATCCGCTGCCAACTTGTCGATGTTGCTGTCTACTGCTGTGGTTTCGCCGCGTGGAGGAAACCCATCTTGCCCCACACTATTGCTGCTGTTGCTGCCACTGTTGCTGGCGGTGGCACTACTACCGTGCTTGTACCCTCCACGAACCGTCCAAGCACTCTGTCGGGGCCGCATCCGTGACCAAGCCTGAGCACCAGACCGGAGCGTTCTCGAACGCCGTTGCAGAGAGCAATGCTGGTGGGAACATGTTTCGTCGATTACTGAGGCTCCAGAGGACATCAGCGTAAGGCAGGCCAAAGTAGCCCCTACAAATCGAAGCCTTTTGGCGGGGGTGTTGCCGTAACGTGGTGGCATGGTGTGTGTCGCCAAATCGCACAGAGTTGTCAAGTGGTGGGCAGTTGGGTGATGCATCGCAGCAATGTGAATGTCGCATTCAAAGCAAGCGTCGTTGGTACCCAGACGAACAGCGAGGTCTACCCACGGAGCCCCCCGCGCCCACACCGACCTTATAATACCAGGTATTATAAAGAGTCATATTCTTTGGACCCAGGTTGCAGTTGACAAAGCAAAAGTTCTAGTGCTGGTTGACAGGTCTGAGCCTGTAGCTAGAGTGGACAGGAGCAGCTGGACAGGAGACTGGTGCTTCTTTCGTTGGTAGGTGGCCCTTTGGGGGACACTGATGTCTATATTGTCCCAGTTGTTGGTCATCATCGTGATGAATGACCAGCCAAGAACAACCATGCGTGCAGCCCGGGCAGCCGAAAGGGGCCTTGAATTACCAGAGGGTAGGACAACCCTAAATGGGGCGGAAGGCACCGTCTTCGACATCGTTTGCGCCGGGGCGACCGCAGAGGAATGGTCAGCGTGGCTTACTTATCACTCCGTTGAAGTATGCCGCGGCTGCGGGGAACCTTGACATCGTGATGAAGCTGCAATCAGCAGGGGCGAGCCGGAGTGCTTTACTTCTGGCAGTATAATAAGGGGTGTGGTCAGCATGGGCTTGCTCGAGAACTCCTAAGGATGGGAGTGAGCCTGAAAGATTTTATTGACAAGATGGGGCAGACCCCTCTGCACCTTGCCGCCGGCTTGGGCTGTGACGATACCATGCCCCTGATGCTTCAACAGGGAGCTGCCGTGGATGCACTGGATAGCCAGCGTCGGACTCCCTTGCACCTCGCAGCAACGCTAGGCTCCGTTCCTGCGGTGGAAATCATTTTGGCTGCCGGCGCGGACTCAAGCCTCCGCTCTGGTGACAATGACGAACCAGCGCTGCATTTGGCTGCTATTAATTGATGGGCACGTGGCTGTAATGCGAGCAACGATGCGGCACGGGGCGGACCTTGATGCTCGCGACGCTGAAGGCTTCGCTGCGCTACACGCGGCCGCTCAGAGCAACCAGGCAGGCGCCATCGATGTGCTCATCGAAGCAGGAGCGGGGGTGAACGCTCGCGGGGGATGTGGAAAGGATGAGACACTGCTGTACGTGGCAAGTGGAAGCGATTCACCAGAGGCTGTGTTGGCCCTGCTGAGGCATGGGGCGGACGTGCACGCGCTGGCCGGCTATCGCCACGCTGCCCTGCATGTTGCGGCCGAAAGAGGACATTCTGTTGTTGTGAATGCCCTCCTGGATGCTGGCGCGCGGCTCCATCTCCGCGCAAACAGGTACGACAGCTGGGATACGCCGCTGGAGTTGGCTGCTGAGGGTGGGCATGTCGATATCGTGCAACGCTTAATCCGGCAAGGCGCGAGGTTGAATGCCAGAGGCCCAGACGGGCAGACTGTCTTGCACAAGGCCTCCTTCGAAAACAAACCTGATGTGATCGATGCGCTGGTAGCAGCAGGGGCTGAAGTGGATGCATTGTTCCTGAGAGCGGCTTTACGCTCTCCACGTAGCGTCCACGAGTGCTCCGAGGCCCCCTGCTCTCTACTGAAACATGGGGCTGTCATCAACACAAGGGACAACAGCGGGCGGACCCCCCTCCATTTAGCGTCCTACGGGATTACCAACACGCTCTTCTTGGAGGGTGGGGCTGACATGCACACGATTTCTGGTGATGGTCAAGCACCACTTCATGCCGCAGCGACGCGCGGTAGCGTTGCTGCGACACAAGTCCTGTTGGCTGCTGGCGCACATGTTAACCTCCCGCGTGACAAAGACGGTTCGTCGGCTCTGTCGATAGCCGCGTTGAATAGGCACGCCGACGTGGTGGAACTTTTGATTCGTCGCGGAGCGGATTTGGGCGCGACGGGCTATGGGGGCTCGACTGTTTTGCACCAGGTTGCGTTGAACAATCATGCCGGCGTTGTTGACGAGCTTTTCAAGGCTGGGGTGAGTATCGAGGCGCTGGACAGGGACTTCAGGACGCCTCTGGTCGTAACCTTCCATGGCATATGCATGCGTGGCCTCGGCAGTCGTCCAAGGCAAGATGAGCACGCCACTATAGTTGCCCTGTTGAAGCATGGGGCCAACGCGAACATGAAGTTGCTCGGCGATCCACTCGTGTTGTGCGCAGCGTATTTTAACTCCGTTCCAGCAGCGGAAGCCCTCCTCGCCGCTGTTGCGGAGGTTTACGTTTTCAATGACCACGTCAAGAATTTCACGCCGCTGCATGTGTCCGCGAAGTACGACCACACTGGCGTGCTGAAGGCACTACTTCGAAACGCGGCGGACACGGAGATACGAACAATACATGGCTGGACTCCGTTGCACGAAGCCGCGGAACGTGGACATGTAAACTCGATCGATGCACTCGTCGATGGAGGCGCTAAGGTTGACGTTCAAGATCTGGGCGGCTGTACACCTCTTCATATTGCTTGTAAGAATCTAAAGTGCTCAGCGATACGTGCCCTTCTGAGAAGTGGCGCGGACGTTCAAGCATTGGACAACAGCCAATACTCTCCCCTTCACTGCGCAGTGCGCCGCATCAGGCATCGGCATTCAGCATGCGACGCGGCTCACTCAGTCAACCTTTTGTTGAGATGGGGTGCTGATGAAAACGCGGTAGACTCGCATGGCCAAACCGCTGGAGAGGGTTTGCAAGGGTACTCAGCCAATCCTTCTAGGTTCCGGAACTCGATGCTCGTTCGACTCCTGCTATCGAAGGCGCCGCAGGATAAAGCGTGGCGTCGACGCGGCTGGCTAGTCTTGTGTCGCACCAGACCCAACAGGGTATTGCTGAAAGCGAAGCATGGAGGAGCAAGTCCTAGGAGTTCGACACGGAACGTTCGAGCGCGGGATGCCGGTGTTTGGGCAAAGGTTCGACGCTGGGGCGACGTTCCAGCAGGGAGCCGAGGGGGGCATTATGGCGCCAACAGAGAGCGATGCTACTGCTGGTGGCTTGGTTGGCTTGTTGGTGGCTGTACTTGGTGCACGTGAGGAAGGTGTATTCCGGAGTATCGTTGGGTACCTGTAATGCATGTCTGTTCAAAGTACGTGATTGGTGATTTTTTTTTGGCAGCAATAACAGGTGCCATAGTGAAGTGTCAGGGAATGTGTGGTAAACGCGTAAATTTACTCTAGTTGAACCCGGAAGGAGGGAACTGGCCCTCGTTGTTTTCAGAGTAAATGCGCGTTGTCAACTTGGTCAGTGGTGCAACGCATTGTGGAAGGAAGCCGACGTTCACGTTGAGTCTCCAAAATGCATCTGTCGGTACTCCAGAGACATGCATACGTCGAGGGTTGGGCGTGGTGATAATAAACCGGTAGCAGATTCTTGTGGGGTCTTTGTCTGGCGATATTATGTTTACTTGGTCAGTCAGTTGGGGGCGGCTAGAGGCAGTTGGGGATTTAAGAGAGCTTGTACCCGAGCTTGATTTTTCCGGAAGACGTACGCGCTGCTTTGTGATGGAATCAAGAACAGACATGATCTCACTATTTATCAGCAAACTACTTCGAACATTGGGAAATCCACAAGTTCCTGCTACGAGGAGCGTCACACCTCTCCCCTTGTCTTTCGTTCGTGTTACCAAGGGTGAGCAAGGGGAAGCGGTACCTGTGCCCTTTCGCACACTTTGGCAGGATTGTACGCTGCTTTTGGCTGTGCATGCGTTTTCAAGACGGATAGGTAGATGGGACTGCCTCATCTTACATTGCTCTTCAATGATGATCACGTGTTTTGTGTGGTGTAGGTGGCGAACACGTCGTATCCTCGCTGTCATTGCCATGACGAAAATATGAAAAATTCCAGTCTTTGTTGAGACACTGAGAGAAGAGGAAGCTTCTTCAAAGCGAAGGGCTCCCGTCACTCGCGAAACGAACTGAACTTGTTTTTTTTGCCACATCGCCACCACACCCAAAAACTCCCACACCAAAACCGGGGGTTCCAAAGACAAGCGGTGGGTAAAAGGCGTAAGAGAGAACCTGTTTGGCCGCTCATTCGCATCGACGGACAGGAGACACTACATACAGATTAACCGCATCACGTGTTTGAGACGCAGCACGGGGATAGTTGAGGTCGCGGATCTTTCATTCTCCATTCCTCCTGAGGAACAGACAATGCGATCTTGAGCCTTTGTGCTACTGTGAGTAGCTCTGGGGCGGTTTCTGAGCTGTATTAACCGGCACGTGTTCGTGCTGCTTCCAGCTTTTTGGGTAATTCAGGCTGCACTCATGATATTTGGCAGCTGGAGGGTGAACCCGTACCATTTCAGTTGTTATGGAATTGACATACGGTTCGAAGGTTGACGTCAGCACCGGTAACCAACAGAGCAATGGAGTGAATAAGAAATAACAGTCTGGTAGTGATGAGGGAGGCTGTTCCGACTGAAGCGGCGTTCGCCGTTTCTCTTCCAGCGCGATTATTGTCAGTACCATTCTCAAAGGTTGCACAACATTTCTCGGTTCTTCCCTCTTGGGCAGTAACAACTCTTGCTTGGTATTGATATCCTGGGTTCTGACACACACGTGAGTGACGATTCATGACCTCACCGCCTGGACATGGCCATCCATCACCAAAATAAACTACCATGTGCAATGCATCCCCGATCTCTGGTCCTGTCCTCACCAGCTAGTCAATAGAGCAAGGCCGGTAGGCAGGTGCGTACCATCGATAGAGTACATTCGGGTCACGGCACGCCGAAAGTAAGTGGAGTACAGTCAGCAACTCCATGCACGTTTCACGGCCTTGTTTGAGTGGCCAACCACATCGGGGATCCTACCAACTTGCGAAAAGGGACATCAGCGCACGCTTCGTTCTCGTCAAAGTCGGTGAGCTTTACGCTAACAGACAAGGGCACGCTCTTTCCCCACTCAACACCGTACTCTGCAGCCAACTCTTCGGCAAACCTCTGCTGCGAAGTCTTCAACAGTCCCTTCCCCATGTCTCTCTCGTAAAAGCACGCGGAGTACTACCTCAACTCTTCAAGGTTCTCCACGGGGACCATCTCATTGAGATCCCTGCCAAACTGTGGTCTCACCTCTCCTTCTACCCTACAGCAAAAATGTCATCCACGTGGACCACGATGATCATGATCACATGTCCCTCCTCCATCAATCGGAAAACACGCGCATCCGCCAGACACTGCAAAAAACCTGAAAGTAACAAAACACCTCGTCAGGTGCGCATGCCATTGTCGTGATGCCTGCTTCAAACTGTACAGACTCTTGCATAGCTTCACGATCAGACCAGATAACCTGCCACAACCCTGCGGTAGACGCATGAAAACATCTTCATCAAGCTCGCACTGCCCAAATGCCTGCTGAATATCGAAATGACACAAGTCAAGGTTCTGTTCACATGCCAATGCTGCTAGCAAGCGCACACAACTGTAGGCACTGATACGGTGGGTGCAAACAATTCTCCAAAATCAATCAAAGCCCTCTGCATGTCCCCCCACGCTACAAGTCTTGCCTTGAATTTCGTCGGCCATCCGTACTCGTCTGCCTTCCAGTTAAAGACCCACTTGGCATCAATGCTATGTAGACACTGCCCCAAAGAAACCTGCATCTAGCACACCGAAAAACTCGCGACCTACTGAGTCTTTCCACAACTCTTGGTGTTGGGACCGTATGGCCTCCTTCAACGTTCTCGGCACGCGGAGGTCGCTGGCGAGGCAGTGGGGAAGGTCGGGTGTCTTGTCAGGCGTGCACTCGGCGCGAAGAGCGGCTTCCACGTCCTCGCGGGTGGCGAACATCGTTGTGAACACATGCGGCCTTCCGCCCCCCCCGGATTCCACAGCCCCCCCGGCTCCCACAGCCCCCCCGCTCCCACGGCCTCCAAGACTCGGATCCAGCGGCGTCCGAGGCGGTAGGTCTCGGCGTCTTTAATCCACGGCCTCCCCAGTTGCGAACGACGAGATGAGGGCGTTATTGTCCATCATGGCCAACAGTCCAAGGCGGTGGTGGAGAGCGGCGCCGCCACCGGACGGCGACGGCGGTTGTTGTTGCTCATCCATGAACCGCACCCCATCGCCGCGCGTGCGGCCGTGAACCCTTGCGTCCTCTCGTCCCAACTCCTTGACGGCTCGTTTCGAAAGCGGCGGGTGCGAAGGAGCGGGAGCGGCGGCGATGGCAGGCTTTGGCAGTGGCGTCGGCGACAAATGGAGAAGCGCGGCGGCGGTGGACGGTGGCGTCGGTAGCGGACGGGGCGGCGTGGCTGCGGTGGGCGGCGTAGCTGGAAGACGACACGTCGGAGATCGGCGACGGAGCTGAGGATCTTGTGAAGATCGGCGGGGAAGCGGGCGGCGGTGCTGCGGTAGTCGCTGTCGCGGGCGGGGTGTAGACGTATGTCCGCGATGGCGTCGGCGGTGGCGGTGCGGCAGCGGCCCCAGGTTAGGCGGCGGCCGGCGAGGACGCCGCGGTGACCGAAGAGCTCCCCCCCGATGGCCGGCACCGGCGCCGGCCCTCCTGCCCGGCGGTTCACCCAGACGACGTTGTTGGTGATGGCGAGCCGCCCGGTGTCAGCGCGGAGAACGACGGCAGTGGCCGTCGAGTGGTTGTTTGCTCCGTGCAGGTAGAAGCACCGCACGGATTGGAGGTTCGCCTTGGTGGTCCGCTTCACGCGCATCATCCCCTCCTGGAAAATGGGACGACTTGAGCGGCGGTTTCCGTCCAAAGAAGACCTCGAACGGCGACATCCAGCCCAGGTTGGCCTTAGTAGCGGAGCGGTTGAAGCAGTCGGATGTCCACAGGGCCGACGCGAGCCACAGGCGATGTCCGTTGGCGTCGACGTTGGGGATGGAGGAGAGGTCGACGAGGCCCATGGAGAGAATGTGGCGTCGCGCGGCGTGGCCCCCCTTCGTTGCGCGCCAGATGGCGCTCTCGACCACCGCGTTGTGCTTGATGGGGGTGTTGGGGGCGTGTACTCGCGCCGGATCAGCGTCGCAGAACGTGGTGAACGCAGCGCCGGTGAACTCGCCGCCGTTGTCCATGCGGAAACGCCCCGGAGTGCCCATGCCGTTCATGTCGGCGAGGAAGCGCTGCACGTAATTTTATCTACATAATATTAGCCTCGGTCATACATATACGCTTCCATTCACTGTAAAGACCTCCACACACATCCCCTTCGACTGCTGTGGTTTCATCCCGAATGGGTAGTCTTTCGGTGTTTGTATATTTGTATGCATTTTTCTACATAATAGACTGCTACAAGTTCTTATGCACGCCCTCTTCATTCTCATCGCGAGACATCTTTAGAACCTTCTCTTGACGCACAACCGGGTGGCTCAAAGGGAACCGGTGAACACTGAAAGAAGCGACAGCCTGTGCGGTGGGGGACTGGTGAGTGTGCTCTGCTTTAAAGTGGGCCGTCGTGTGGGCGTCATGTGACTGGCCGTGTTGCAGTGGTTATTGCACGGGACGGGACTGTCGAATTAATCCCGCCGAATTCTCACGGGGCCCCCCTTTGGAATGACCTGGGAATGACCCGCTGCTGCCGCTCTGCCGTGCAGAGCACACCGCCAACAACGCATACGTGATCGCGCCGTGCCCTCCACGTCTACATCACCACGGGTACGCGATGGCTGATGGTACCATCGTTCGGCAGAAGAAGGACAAGGATGGTGGTGGTGATGCCGCCCAGTCGCTGATTCGCAAGCTCACAACGGAGAAAGCCGTCAAAGCCCATCGCCAGGAAACACAGCAGACGTCTATCACGGAGGACGACATCACGAACGTCAAGCTCACCTCGAGGGGTATCAAGACCATAGAGAGCCTCGAACTACCTTCCCTGAGGTGTGCTGAACGAAGAGCATGAAACGCCGAACGGTGCATTGCAGTGCCTCCTCTTACGCTCCTTACGTTTTTGACATGCCATCATCCCAGTGCGCTCTCAGCAGGTCCACCCAGTTTTGGCTCCCTCACACTCCTGTCCGCGACATACTCCTTTGCGCGTTGTATCCATACGTCGTTGGCAGGCGACTAGACCTGTCCAAGAACAGCTTGAACCGTCTCAAGGGTCTGCAAGGGTGCCCGCAGGTAAACCATATTTTGACGTAGGGCTGTGATTCGTTTCACCTCCTTGTGTCGCAACTCGTAAGTCGAAGTCACATGCTTTTTGATTTGCGTGTCGGCTGGCAAGAGACGGCAACACAACATACCGTCGCCCCTGTTGTCTAATGGGAATTCGCAGTCTACCAATGGCCAGGTCATGGGTTCGAGCCCCGGCAACGTGAGTTTTTCTCTCACTATATTAATCCTGGTCTAAGGTTGGAAGCGACGCGCTGCGAAGCTCGTCGTTAGTAAGCTCGATCGACTTCATAAGTCGCGAGGAAAGGGATTGCTGTACCCTTCTCGCGATAAAAATATCTCAGGCAGGAACCGCAGGAGGGGTCCAACTCCCCCTCGTATGTGACCCCGGTTGGGTTGTCTAGCTAGTAGAAGTGGAGGATAGGGTCCAGAGGGGCAGATGACAGAATCCAATGGTGGGAGAAAAAAACACAACAAATAAATAAAAATACCACACTTAATAATCCAACATATTATAGTACCCGCAGCACTTTACTTCGCAGGGCATTGAAGACCTAGCGAGACCGCACGTCTCATCTAGCAACCACCCGCCCAACTCGCTGTCCCTACTTGCCGCCTCTCCCTGTACCCTCTCCCCAAAGGTCACGTATCTCACCGCAGCCAGCAACGAGCTGACAGGCGACGGCTTGGACGGAGTGCGGCCGCTCAAGGACTTGAAGGTGTTCAACGCCTCGGGAAATCGCGTGCGGCGTATTCCCCCCGCGGTGTTCGCCCAGTTTCGACAGTTGCAGGCACTGGTGCTAAGCGACAACGAGATCTCCGAGGTCCCGCCGACGTGGCTGAAGCAGGGACTCCTTTCCCTTAACACGCTTGTGCTCAGCCACAACAAGGTGTGTCCTCGTCCGCTCACCTGCGGGGTGCAGGGCAGAGTCAGAGAATCAGGAGCTTCGGCAAGGCAACGCTTGTTTTATTCTCTCGTAGCATACATCGGTTTGCGTTGTACGGGGTATTTTGTTGAAGCAAAAGTGCCTTGTCTTGGACGTAACTTTCCATCTCTCTGTTGGGGTCGGGTGCCGAAACGGTCAACCCGAATGCACATGTGCGTAGATGTGTGCGTAGATGCATCTGTTCTATTACACGTCCAAAACATGGCTTCGTGCGCCCTCGACAGCATGTACTGTTTTTTGTATCGCAGGAAGAGGCACCTTTTCCTTCGGCTTCGTGTAAACAACAGCAGTTTTCGTGCAGCAAGGTTGTTGAGTTGGGTTGTTGAGCTGATCCCACGGGTACTTTTGACGTAGTGCATTCCCCCATCCCATCTCCTTGCCACCCTCCTGTGAACATGACCTAACCACACCATTCTTGTTTGTTGTTGTACTCCGGTCTCCGCAGCTCAAGTCTCTGTCGGGGACCGGGCTCGGCCGCCTGACGGCGCTCACGAAGCTCTCCATCTCCTACAACACTCTCGTCGAGCTGCCCGACCTCTCGGCATGCAGGTGAGACCGCCTTTCGCCGGCCTCATCCTTCACAGGCGAATCGCGCGTGCTTGACACACGAGCATTTTCTCGGAGGAAAACTGAAAGCGCCATAAACGAGTGCACATGTTCCAGTTGTACTGCCGGTCCCCTTGGTGTTGTCGTCCGAGCATGCGGTGCCGGCGCCGCCCCAGCAACATAATTTAAGCTGTCCTAGGATCAGTCTGATTTGCTTGTCCCACGCCCTGTGCTCTGCCTTGCGATGCTTGGATTGAATCGAAGATCGTCTCGCTCGTCGGTGTGTCCCTTCTTCCCTTTTTCTCTTGGCTCATTCTTCGTCTCGACGTGTTGGTGCCATCTGCATACACCTGCGCGTTATCGAAACAGCGGGCTTGAAGAGCTCCGAGCGGCGCACAACATCGTCACTCAGGTCCCCGCGTCCCTGAGCAAGAACGCCGCCTTGCGCACGCTCGATCTCGGCCACAACCGCATCGACGACTGGGTCGGGCTGGAGCGCCTGGGGAAGTCGCTCAAGTCTCTCATGCAGCTCTCGCTGTCCGGGAACCCGATCTGCGGCGCAGCCGCCGCTGCCGAAAAGAGTGGAACAGGGGAAGAAGATGGAGAGGAAGGTTATGTGGCAAAGGTCCGGTCTCTGTTTCCTGGCCTCAAGGTGAGAGACGGCAAGCGGATCCTGATGAAAAAGTCCCATACCTACAACGAGCAGCGCGGGGGCGAGCAAGGCGCCGGCGCCGGCGCCGGCGGAGGTAGGAAAGACTCGGCGTTGCGCGGAACAACACCGGGGACCGGTGGTAAGAGAGCTCCAGGCAGCGGGACAAAGGCACGGCCCGTCAAGAGTGACGGGGTCGATGGAGGAGGGGGTGACAAGTCCGGCGATCGTGAGGGCGGCCAGCTTGTCTCCAGAAAACCGAAGGAAGAAAGCTCGAGGCCCAAGGAGATGCGCGTTGGCCAGCAGGGGCAGGGTTCAGGAGCATCATCTGCGAACATGGACGAGGAAGGTGCGGGAACGAGCAAAGAAGAACGGAAACGGAAGAGGAAGGCCGCTCGAAAGGCTGCAGCGGAGGAAGCACAGACAGAGGCGGCGGCTGCGATTCCGAACAAGCAGGACAGAAACACTAAAAAACGTCGAAGACGGGAAGAGGAGGAGGGGAGAGAGCGTTCGGGTTCTTCGCCCGTCGAAGAGGCCGCCGCCGCGGCTCCTTCCGAGAGTGCCGACAAGCTTACCAAGAAGCAGCGGCGTCGCCGGCGTGAGGAAGGCACCACAGCAGTTGAGACGATCGCCGCAGCAGGTGCCGCCACCACGGTAGTGAGCAAGAAAAAAAAAAAGACGGCAACGTCCGGCGGCGAGGGTGGTCGCGCCCAACAGCAGGAGGACCCCTACTCTTCCTCCGAAGAACTCCCGATTCCTGGGAGAGGGGACGGCGGCGATAGCCTGGCGCGGGAAGAACCCGCCGCAAAACGGGCGGCAGATGCCGCGGTCCCAGTCCGAGAATCAGGGGTGGTGAGCGTGGTGATCAACACGAAGCGGAAGGGTGCGAAGGCGAAGGCGCGGCAAGACAGCAGCGCTGCTGGCAGGCCGGGGGGTGGGGGGGGGCTGGGTGGTTTCAGCGTTGGCGCTATGCTTGAGGCTCGCGGCCAGAAGGAGACGATCGGGTTGGGGTCCCGCGTGTCAGCGTGGGACTGAGGTGTGCTGGTCTAGCTGTCCAAGTCGTTGGCTTTCGTTACCCATCACTTGTTGGTCGCGAACTGGTTATTGAGATACGCGTTTTATTCGACAAGGGGCGGGGTCAGAGGGGAGGGGGGGGGATATCGTCCTCTTCTTCGCTGAGTTGTCCCCTTTAGTTTTGATTATTCTCTTCAAGGCGGCTGCCTACACAGAATATTGACGCGAAGAACACGTCGTGAAAAAATTTATTGACAAACAGTAAACGTTCGGTTTTCGAGTAGCGTATCCATGGCATGGCATGGCATGGTGGTGCTTCCGGCAGTTGTCGATTTCTCGCGCGTGGCGCACCGACCATTAGCAGCGGACCAAGCCAGACACCAGTCTCGGCTTCGTATCCACCCGGGTTCGAGTCTCGCTGAAATTACAAATTTCGAACGTCTTCGGTGTTTCGTTTCTTTTGCGTTTCTTGAATCGAATTGACGCTGCCGTGTTGCGACCAGCGGACGACCCACAAGTCAGCATAGGACTTGCTCGCCTGCCGTCGCTGATGTTGTGCCCAACGTTTGGTTTTCGCTACTAACCAAAATCAGCACGTGTGCAACAAGCTGTGTCTTGCACGAAAGGGCTTTTCCCCCGTCCGAATCGCCACCACTTAATTTATTATGATCGAGTAGATTTTTCCCGTGGCGTGGGCCGCAGCAGTGTCCTCATGTCCTCCGGGGGGGCTACCAACGACCGCTACGACAGCAGCACGTGGCCAACACAACGTAACGTGGAGTGTACATAGACTTTCAGCACATGAACCACATAGCACTTGTGTGCTACATACTTGTTGCGCTTGAGCTTGCAGGGCTCGAGTCTTACAGCAAGTCCAAAGTCCTTCAAGTGGCGGCACTTGTGAAGGGAGTGTCAAAGGTCCTCCCATCGCGCTTGCTGCTCAACTCTAGGTCAACAATTTTGCGTTTCTTTTGCTTCCATCGACGAAATAATACCGGGATGCTTTTCTCTGATGGAACTCCGTGGCTTTACGGCAGGAAAGAACTGGCGACGAACAGGGCTTCGCGGCCGGCAGGGCTTCAACAATTTGTACTCAGACACATGTCGTCCGCACAAAAAAAGATACCACCGGATTCTCAAGAGACAGGTACCAAATGTTGTCCCTTGGTGCTACTGTATCCTACTGCTAATGAACAACGATCGATGGAGGCTACGTCCTCCCTATCACACAAAGGCCGTAGTGTCTTCGATATACTGCGGTACGATCAAAGGAAAAAACAACGTCAAAACTGAGCTGCTTGTTACCATACCCGTCTAGTACAAAGAAAAAAAGCCAAGAGCGACACACGGTACAAGGAGAGTCCCATATGCAAAGACTACAGACAGATGCCAAAGGTGTAGAGAGGTCAACTCCGAAAAAAAAAAAAAAACACACTTGAAAGACAAGATCACTAACCGAGAATGCTTGTCGAAAACATGAAAGATAAACAAGGCTCGAACATCATCACCACAGCGCCAAAACGTCACTTGCGCTTATCGTTTCCACAACACCCCTACATGGACCCGCAGACTCGTAACCCTTACATATACCCCCCACTCCCAAACGTGGTACACAACTTCGTAAACAGTCATGAGTTGAAGATGAGAATAGCGACAACATCGGCTTAAGTTGGACAGCTGCTTCAACTTTGAAAAGTAAAGAACAAGCAGCAGAAAAACAAAAACACCCACGGCTTCAAACTCCATACACCTACCTCATCAACTGCTGCATCGCTTATCACCTACCGCTCCCTCCGCCCGCTTCTTTTGCATCGGACCGAAACAAAAGCAACAAAAAAAAGAAGAAAAAACAGCGAGGATCATAGAGCACAAGCCGGTCCCGTAGACAAAAACGACAAGTATTCGGAGTGGCGCGCAGGCTACACTATTGTAGTAAAACCGTTGCGTAACAAGTAGAACGAGACCCTATAATACACCGCTATCTGTCTGGAGTGTGAGGACCAAGGCACATCAACTACGCAGGAGGCAGCAGAAGAACGGTCAAAACTTGGCCGCCAACGAAAAAAGAAAAACACACACACACACACACACAAGGGTGGCCTAATAGCGGACACACACCGAACGACCGCTGTGTTTACCTCTTGCGTTTGGACCACCTTTGCTGACACGCCGTCCCGTACGCGAAGTCCTTCCGCGCGACACGACGCACGCAACACCTACGGCGCGCCTAACCCACCTCTGCCCGACACACACGCCAAGATTTCGACTTTCTTTCTGATCAAAACCCGGCAGAGTGCGCACGCAACCTGTTTGTGAGTGAACGACCCTTGTCCTCGCAAGAGCTTACTGCTCCCGGAGAGGCTTACCGCAGGTTGCGTAAAGGTACCTTACCCCCTGGACCGATTTTCAAAGCTCGGTTTCTCCACCACGAAGAGGATGCCGATGTCAAATGGTAACGTTATTGGGAAAGCTCTCGACGAGACGGTTCCGACGCTGCAATTTCGGCACCGTCACCGCTTTTCTTGCCGAGAAATCGAGCTTTGAAAATCAGTCCAGGGGGTGTGATATCTTACGTCATGCAACCTACTGTAGGTATCCAACGAAGCGTGAGAGGAGGGTAACAGACAAATAAGTTCCCCCGCAGTCTCGCGTACGGGCCTCGCAGAAGCGAGGAGCATGCGCGCCTACGCCGATGACACGGATTCACCCCCCCGGAGGAGCATTATGGAGGCGGCAGGGGTAGCTCCTCCCCGATACCATTCCCCCTGTCCTCGTACCAGCACGCCACCGCCACGAGAACGTAGGTGGTCACCAAGAGAGAGCCCTGCAGCCAGTTGGAGGTGCCGTTGCTGACGGTCGTGGACACGATCACGATGGACAGCACGTACTGCGAGTCAAAATCAATATCAAGGGACAAAAACAAAAATAGGGGCGGGCGGGCGGGCGGGCGGGCGGGGGGGTCAGGATCATTCGCGTTTAGGCAAGGAATAGATATACTAGTGTCTGTCCTTGAAAACATGCATGTTCTCGTGAAAGAGCCTGTCCATCTTGTCTACAAGTAACATGTATTACTATTCTCGGTGAAAGGGTCATTTGTTCCGTCGGGTAGGAAGCGTGCCATTTGCTGTCTTTGAACAGACACGATGGACGACAGAACACGAAACTGACACAATGGGGCAGCCCAAGCGCCAGCTAGGCTCGAGGTGAGCGGGGGGTAGGTGTTGTTGGCTGATGTGGAGACGAAAACACAACTACGGAGAGTGCACAGCCACCGCCAGACACACAAGCAAAAACAAGAAACAGCAGTGCGGATAGGACCATGATTCAGTCTCGAGCAAGGCAAGAAAACACAACCAACCACGATGCATGCGCACAAAAATCGACCACGACCGGCGTGGGGATACGCCATGATTCGTTATCTCCTGACCGGCGTGGGGATACGCCATGATTCGTTATCTCCTCAAGCAAGGAAAAAGCACACCAAACACCAAAGAACACACATGAACCATCAGAGGGGGGGGTGAACCGACGGGGACCCCGCACACAAGAACCGCGACAGCAGGTCATACCCGCCGAAAAGTCTTACAACACCACTGCGGCTCACCAGAATGATTTCCTCGTTGGGGAACATGAGCGTCATTTCCCGGTCCTAAGCAGAGCACGACGGTGAGACGGCAGGGGTGTAGAGGTGAGCGTTACGCCCATTCGTTGGTTTGTGTTTGTCGACACAGCAGTAAGTCGTCCCGGTATATCGCGGTGCCCAATAGCGCCGTTCCCGATACACCGCGGAAAAAAAAATCCGTGGCGCAGCACACCTGGGCAGTGGATCAGCGATTTGTCTGTCACTACACTGCGATATATCGGGACCACTACTGCACTTTTGAATTTCTGCCGTGAAAAAGCTCCAATCCGTGGTCACACAGAAGCTCCAATCCGTGGTCATACAGAAGCTCCAATCTGTGGTCACACGGAAGGGGTCCTCTCCCTGACGCCCTCCTGCGGATGGTTGCCTTCGATATTTTCGCGAAAAGAGCGCAGCACTCTCTTCCCTCGAAGTGTTGGAAAAAAAAAAAAAAAGAGCTGCTTCGAGAATCGAAGATCCCTATGGCCAATGCCGATCCTGCCCATGCCATGCTGCCAAGGGTGACAAAAAGAAGATACAGATTGATTTGTTGTGTTTGCTGCTAGTAAGAAAAAGAAAAAAGAAAAAGAACCCAGCCGCACGATTGTGGGCCTCTCCAGCCATGCCTTGGCTATAATGCAACCGACCAATAAAGAATTCGACAAGAATAAAAGCTACCTCTGTTTATCCGTTCTATCTCGTATCATCTCCCCCATGTCCCCTTGGCCGTTGCGGCGAAAGCAACAACAACAACAACAACAACAACAACAAACAAACACAGTGACGGGTTCGCTGCAATCTTCTCGTGTACACCGTACAAGCGCATGCCAGTCTCACCATCGCCCAGCCCGAAAGCACAGCGACAGGCACCACGAACATCGACACCTGCGTCGCAGAACCCACCGCCACCCCCATCGCCAGCTCCATCTTGTTCTGCAACGGTGAACCGCATCAGAACGCCACCAAAGGTAATGATGCGGGAAGGGGGGGGGGGGGGGGGACCAGGTCCTGCAGGTGAAAGGGGGGGGGGGGGAAAAGCTTGGTACCGCGCCATCCGTCCCCCATCCGGAAATGGGAAACTGGATTTTTTTCCACTAAAACCCTCTCCAAACCCCAAAAAACTAAAAGGGGTTTTCCTTTCCAAAAAAAAAAAACCAGGGCCCCAAACCCATGAAAACCAACTGCCCTTTGGGGTCCGTGGAAACCTGGGCAAATCAACACACCCTCCTACCGGAAAAACCCCCACAACCCCTTCCCCACCCCCTCCTAAACAGGTGGAATACACCATCCAAACCGGTCATTTTCAACTACCCCCCCCCTACTTTCTTGGCCCCCTTTCCAAAATGCCAAATTTTTGTGTATGTATGCCCCTCTCCCCCATTCCGGTGCCAAAAAAGTGCTTTCCCCCCCCCCAAAAAAAAAACCACCTGAACAAAATCCCCCTGCCTCTCCCCCCCCTTTATGCTTGACCCTGGCGATGCTTGACCCTG